GAAGATTTCTGGTTTCCATTTGTAGTCCACTAATAGTTCTTTCAATCGGTTACTTAGAGCAGGTTTTGCATTTGCTGGAATGCAATCTGGAAACCATCGGCTGTCACCCAAAGATGGTTTAGCTTTTTATTTACCTTGTTAAACGTCTCTGTTCCTCAATAAAGAACGTGTGGACATAATTGAAATACTGGCCTGAGAATCCACTGTGTGGACCAGAAGCACTGAAAAATTGGTGACTTTCACCAGAAGCTTTGTCATCAGACTTGCTGATAGATTTCCAGGTTAAGTCACAGAGCAGCTGCATATTCAGTTGACTCTTTGCAGTCTTTTATTTTTATTATTTTGCTTCTGATGGAACTGGACTAACTCCTCTCCCTTCTCTGTTATATTTTTAACTAGAAAATAACCCTCAGATATAATGGCCAGGACTCCAACTTCTATGAAGTGTACATTGAAAATCCCAAAGGATGCTTCAATCTAAAACTTCAGTATGCTTTGTCCAAAAAATATGAACCGGTGTATGAACCTGTCTGGACCTGTAAACTCCAAAAAGGTCAGTAATTGAAATGAAACAAATCAAATTTGTATATCCTAATGCACACTCAAAGGGTTAGATACTGTTATTTTTAATATACTATTGTCAGAAAACATGATATTCTCAAAGAATATGTTTTTAATATATTTTTACTTAAAGATGGAGATCATAGCTTTGATAAGTTTTTTTTAATTCATCCCAACCCACTCACCAAAGCTTTCAGGGTCCTTTTTATTTGGCTGGAGCCATTTAAATTTTGCTCACTTGTCAATTATTATTTCAAAGAGATTGGAATATGTCACATTTAACTATTAAATAGAATACTTCAGATAGCACGTAGCTTTTTGTATAAAATCTTTATGGTGACTGTAAAATAACATTTACTGTTTAGATTGTTATTTGCTTTGTATTTTATTTCAGACGATCATCCAAAGTCTGGTTATGGGGAAGGTGAGATCCAAACAGCTTTCGCTAATCTATCAAGTAGAAAAGTATTCAGTGTTGTGTTCTTGTTATTAATCTTTTGCATCTAGAAGAATGCATGTTGTGCAGTTCCACTTATAAACGGTTCATGTTAGAGACCCATCTGAAGTGATAAATGTAGACTTTCAGGCAATAAGTGATTCAAAGGTAGAAATGTTGTGAGTGCATAAGGGAGAGAAAGTTCAGGACAAATTTGAAAAAAGATTACATTTCAGACATTTTGAGAACAAAACGGTTAGATTATTTAGTGCCAGTGATTTATAATAAGTGTGAAGTCATTTTAATATTTTCTGTACAGGTCCAAGATCCTCGAGGGGAGTAACCGGTGTCACTACTGTTGGTAAGTTCACAAATATTAACTCTGCTCTCTTCTCAGTAAATGATTTTCACATTTCTGCGCTAAAATTACTCAGGACCTCACTGCAAACACAACTAAGACTGTAAGACAAGTTTAAAACTGAACTGAACTTTTAATCAAGAATGGAAACTGGGGAAAATAAACGAATACCAATATCCTAGAAGAAAAAAACAAACAGTGGGAGGGTGAAGGACTTTGAATGAGATGAGATGATGACTTAACAGAGACTGAGGAAGAACAGATTCAAGAACCATGACGGGGGGCAGGTGAACTCAGTTGAGCCAAAAAAACACTGGTTTGGGGCATCAAAGGCTACAGAGGGTAATAATTAAACAAAACTTTCCACTCTTTATACCCAGTAATACTCGTTCTGCTTCATCCACACTTACTGTGTACTCGGTGAAACAATAATTGTTAACCGTCACAACACTTAAAGCCAGGAAATATTCGGATAAAGTTTTTGTGGCTCTAATCTGGATTCGAGTCCTTTGATAGTGAATATCTGTTGATACAGAGTCTGATTCATATATTGACATGCAGTATCAGCATGCAATGTGAATATTTGTTGTAAAAAATATTTGTGCAGACAACCTTGAGACAAATATTTCCATCCCTCCCTCCCTCCCTTTATCCGGGGCCGGGTCGCAGGTGCAGCAGCCTAAGCAGAGAGCCCCAGACCTCCCTCTCCCCAGCCACCTCCTCTAGCTTATCTGGGGGAACACCAAGACGTTCCCAGGCCAGCCATGAGATATAATCTCTCCAGCGTGTCCTGGGTCTGCCCCGGGGCCTCCTCCCGGTGGGACACGCCCGGAACACCTCACCCAGGAGGCATCCTTGTCAGATGCCCGAACCACCTCAGCTGGCTGATTTCGATGTGGAGGAGCAGCGGCTCTTCTTTGAACCCCTCCCGGATGACTGAATTTCTCACCCTATCGCTAAGGGAGAGGCCAGCCACCCTTTGGGCGAAGCTCATTTCCGCCGCTCGTATCCGCGATCTTGTTCTTTCAGTCACTACCCACAGCTCGTAGCCATAGGTGAGGGTAGGGACGTAGATCGACCAGTAAATTGAGAGCTTTGCTTTTACGCTCAGCTCCCTCTTCACCACGACGGACCGGTGCAGCGGCCGCAGCACCAATCCGTCTGTCGATCTCCGGCTCCCATCACTCGTGAACAAGACCCTGAGATACTTGAACTCCTCCACTTGGGGCAGGAACTCATCCCCGACCCGGAGTGGGCACTCCACCCTTTTCCGGCTGAGAACCATGGCCTCAGATTTGGAGGTGCTGATCCTCATTCCCGCTGCTTCACACTCGGCTGCGAACCGTTTCAGTGTGAGCTGGAGGCCTTCACCTGATGAAGCCAACAGAACCACATCAAAATATTTTTTCATTAGGTTTTATTCTTAATTTATGATGCATAAATGATTTAACACAGACTGTAAAGATAACAGAAAACCTGCAAGTTTAATTCTTACAACCTGCAGCAGTGATTTTTACTATTTTAATTATTAATTTGAAAAGCAGCTTTCATGCTTGGCACTTTGAAAGTGATTGTAGTATTGGACTAGTATGAATCTTCCCAGCAGCCTGCTCAAACATTTGTTTGCATTCAAACACAGTGTTGCAGGCCCTGTGCAGTCAAATGATCTGAAACTGTTCTGCTCTAATCCAGTCCTTTAAAATGTTTCAGCCTGGCAAATCTCAACTTCAAACCCATAGAGATGAATTAGGAAAATACTTCCCAAATCTAAAAAAGAAACGTCGGATGTGATCCTTTTGTATTCTAAATATTTATAAAATACTTATAAAAGCATCCTATAATTTATCATTTTCTTCCTCCTAGACAAACACTGTGAATAAGCTGCCTGCAGTGATGCAGAAAGTAAGTAACATCAGTTTACTCTGACTTCATGCTGCAAATCTTAATGTGATAGGATGCAAGTGGATGATTTATAGTTTTAAAATTGTGTTAATAAGCTTGTGATTGAACTGGATGTGTAGCTTGTCATCAGTTATCCGCCAGTTAAGTTATGGTCAAGTCATACCCCTTTGTTTGTTTGACTTGACTTCATCAGGGACCAACGGCAGCATCAGATGGAGAGAGGCTTTAGGAGGGAGAAGCTCAATGAATTTAAGTTGTTTCTGAGGCACGGAAACATCGTTACTGAACTTTCTCGCATCCCAGATGACAAACTGGAGAACACAGACCAGTCAGGCCTGTTCGATCTCTTGCGTAGACTTACACTTAGCAGTCTGTGGAAGTGACCAAAGCTTTTTTCAAGAAATGTAAAAACCAAGACCTGGTATATATGCCATCAGACATTATGATCCAAAGTTTCTTTTAAAAACTCACTGTTTATCTAATAAAATGTTTTTCCTTTTGATTGCACAGAATGTGGTCCATCCATCCATTCTTTATTTATTGTCACTTGTTTGGATGCAGGTAGTGGGGGAATGTCTTCACAGACATTCAGGAAGAATCCTTATCAGATGCACATGAGTCAAATAACAGAACCACAGTATAACAGGGGTTGGTGTTATATATACATGTACATTATATATAATATACAAGTATAATGGTGCTGACTGAGCCATAAAGCAGTAAAACTCTGTCAAGACGTTACTACAGTTATTTTCTTCAGAAGATTGAAATTAATGGAGAAAAGGTTTTGTCGGGGGAAGTTGCCTATAACGAGCTGCAGGGCCGGAAGTGATGAGGCATTCACGGTCCATAAATTGCACTTCATATAAAATGTGTATGAGAACTATAAGGATTCAAGGAGCTTTATTTGTCATTCGCATCACATGTTTACATGAGGTGGGACGAAGAAACAGAATTTAAAAAAACAGAATTTAAAAAGTATTAAATAAAGTTTTTTGGGGTTTTTTTTTTTCAAAACAGAAAAACAAGTAATAAAATAATACAATAGAGTACCAACCTGAGTACAAGTATGAATATAGAATGTAGGTATAAATACTTTAGCAGCAAAAGGGCATGATGACCAGCATTGAGACGGTGTCACTTTATCACTGCTGGTGTCACATAAAGCCTGCAATATAGTTTGAAACTAACGGTGACGATAGGGGAAAAAATGCCACTGATTCTTACGGGGTTAAGACACGTTTTGCTCCCTGGGACCTGACACCACACACGCGTGGAAAACAAATGACCTCTGAGCAGCTCGGGGCGATGCTGGTGACAGGATAGACGCTGAATACAAAGGAAACAAACGCAGACGTGAGCTGTGTCTTAATTATGTGAAATGATCTTGACTTTAATGGATCCTGCTATTCTAAATATGTTTAAAGGCAACTGAGAAATGAAACTGGATGATGCAGAAAAAAGTGGATGTAGTTATTAATATTATTATTCATATTATTATTATTATTGAGTTGTCTTAAATTATCTGAACTATATTAACTAATCTTAACCCAAAAGTCTTTCAGTGCCAGTAAATAAAGTGCGACAATGGCTATGATGTCTTTGAAGTGAGAGCTGCTGAGCTCTTTCATTTCATGACCAGTCTTCACACCTGGAGGATGTAACTCTGCAGGAGGCCGAGCTTCACACCTCTGCCTCGGACTAAAAAGAGCTGAAAGAGTAAAAGGCCTCCGGGTTTCCTTTAATCTTGAAACAATCATCTGACATGTTTTTAAAGATTTATTTGGTTGTTTTAACTTTGAAGAGTACAGCTCGCCATAGGGAGAAATCCAGAATAAATTATTGTGCAAAAACCGACCAGAAATATCTTAAGATTGAATAGAAGTGATGTTGTACACAGAGACACAGGTGTCGCTCGTTCCACCAGAGAGGTGAATATGAAGGTCTGCGTGGGTCTCCCAGCCTCAAACCCTGAGCTTCCACACCTGGAAATGTGATGGATGGACACTCAGTCATTATCCACTACCGCAGCATGCTCTTTAATCATGACGGCACATAGTAGCAGCTTTTAGTAGCGCATCAAAGAGGACAAAATCTCCTCGGCTTCGTGAAACTCACCTCTTCACTCGCACTTCAGCGCAGCAATCCCAGCTGGACCGCTCGGCTGATCCAGCTCACCTGTGTCGCAGCCTGAGAGAGTCCCCGTTCCCCTGAGCCACTTACGTGGCTGACTGAGCTCATTGAAAAGTATTTAAAACAGTGAATCAACCCTATTACACATACAGATCAAGTCATACTCGGGTATTTACAATATTTACAGGACCTGAAGTTATGCGTCTTCATAAGACTACAGTTTTTAAAAAGAAGTTGTGTGTTTTTGCCAAATAGTTTATAGTCATTGATAGCTCTGAAGTCCCTGCCTGGTGATCAGGGCCAAGGTCTCCACAAAGTGTGGCTGGAGGGGGAGCTCTGGGCTGAGCTCTGTTTGGTCGCTCCTCTCTCCGCTCTGATCTCGGACTCTCTTTGTTTCTGAGGCTGTTTGGGGACTCTGGGAAACCTTTGTTGGAGTGGGAGTGGGTAAGGTCGGATCAAACGTTTCTCCCCTGAGGCACGTGCCGGGAGTCTGAGCTTGGACTTCTGCCTTAGCACCCGCAGAATAAACTTTGCGTGCGGCAAAAAGTTTCTGCTTTGGAGACCTTCGGGCTGTGAGTGTGAACGGGCCAAACGAGCAGCAAAAGCTGCATCCAGCGCCGATCCGAGCTCCGACCCTTTCCCCTCGGGGCCCAGAAACCCCGCAGCTGTCTGCAGGCAAGTGGAGAAACCGTCCTGGAAGGAGCGTTTCTGGTCCCCACGTCCACCTGTAGTCTTGTCTCCTTTGGCAGTGTTCTGGAGGAAGAGGACTGTGTGCTCCAGTATCTCAGCTTTCTCCACTCGGTGCTGAGTGGACCCCTGCATGAGAGCAGCAAGTTAACCTTCATGTTTCATAATAATAAATTAATAAAAACCACAAGTATGAACCACATCGATTTATTTCTATAAAATTCATAGAGAACTAAAAACTTCTCTTACTTCTTGTGGCTCCTGCAGAAACATGGTCCTCAGACACTCCAAACTGCGGTTCATTCTGTCCCTCCGACGTTTCTCCACCTGAGATTTTATTAACTATCGCAAAAAAAAAAGAAAAAAAAGAAAAGAAAACCAAAGTCTAAACGTGGTTTCCTGATTTTGTTTAATTATATACCGCGTAAAAAGAAAAACTACCAAAGAAAAGCAAAAAAAAGGAGCAAATGGAAATGACTAAATGATTAGAGGGAATTCAGCGCACTAAATTATACAAACTATTTCATATCTCCAAATTACTGAAATTTTGACAAAGCTGCTGCTTTAATCTTCAATGAATCTGATTGTTATTGTGGTAATAACAGAGAATCACTATATGAAATGAAATCACGTCACTTGACAGGTATCTGGAATTCCTTTACCTTTCTATTATTTGTTGCTTCCTCCGCCTCATGTAACAGCTTCCTACCAACCGATGGTCCCATGTTCTGCTCTGGTCTACTGGTAACAGCTTCCTTCGCAGTCTGTTACTGATCTGGAAATGAGGCTCTAGTTTCCTGCCACTTATTTTTTACTGTGGTCCTGACAGCCTCTCAGACTCCTCCTACTTCCCTACCCCTCCTCCAGGTCCCTTGGTCTCACCGTTTGGTAACACTGCAAATGAAAAAATCCTAGATTTGTTTTTATTTTTGAACTTGTCTAATCTCGATCTGATGTCAAGAGTAGAAAACAAGAAAATGAATCTTATGCGCAGTCGCGTGCGTAAAGTTAAAAAAAAGTCTTGCGTCAAAACGTTTGAAAATTTAACTTAAAATAAACATAATTTTACTCCAGATGCTGTTCTGTTTTTTCCTGCTCTTGTGCTTCATTTGAAAAAGCTGGTAGCTCATTTTGCTTTGGGAGAGGGGGGCTATTTGCGCATGCAAAGCTGACACGTGCCTTAATCAAGGAAAGCTTGCTTTTTAGGAGCGACGGTGTGATCCTATGACCAGTTTTCATTTCAGAACTATTTTAAGTTGAATAAAAAACAATCACTTACAGGAGGAGAAAGATTTTCAGATTTTTCGCCGAGCCAATATAGGGGAGACCGGGGATAGTTGTAACATTTTTGACATTTCTGTCTGTAAATTGGAGCTCTTTTAAGGTAGTGGATTCAAAATGTTATGCAAAGTATTTACATGTCTCTGCTATTAAATAGTGCAGCTATTTTCTCTGCAGCACAATTACCCATTGCATGGTATGGCCTCAAACACAAAGAGTGAAATGTTACAATTAACCCCATAGTCTGTTGTTGTAACATATCCTGGGGTGAAATGTAACACAATGAAATAAGGGTACTAACAAAACATTAACATGTAATCTTTGTTTATTCATCACATGAATGCACTTACATCCATTTATGTAGCTGTGTGTGTGTGTGTGTGTGTGACAGAATGCAGAAATCTAGCTTTTGAACATATTCCAACCCCCAAAAAAGACAAATTATGGAATTTTCTGCAACTGAATATTTCATTAATTTTGGTTGGTCTTCCTTGAGTTTGGCCTCATTGGCTCAGTGGGCATTATAACCTACAACTCTTGCACCAATTTTGAACATAACAATGAAGCTGAAAAATGTAGTTGTTCACCAGCATCGCAATTCCATTACTTTTTATCATGGCTTACCTTGGTGTGGTTTGCAAAGTGCTTCAGAAAGATGAGGAAATCTGTTTCTTGCACCCATCCTGATTTATTTCCACTACCAGTACTTCCTACTGGTCCATCTCTGACACAGTGGTCTGCATAATGTATGTGTGGGAACACAAACAGTGGGGGAATTGTGTTGCCAATGGCATTAACCGCATATACAAAAGCGACCAGTGAACCTCTCTCTGCTGATGTCGTTGCCCCAACTTGTTTAATATAAGTTAAAGTAATAGTGTGGTAAGTTGTAACATCTGCATTATTGTTACAACTAACCCAGACTGTTGCTGTTACAACTGACCCAGACTCCTATAGCCCTGAACTAGCTAACATTACAGCCAACGGCTAAAACATTAGCACTAAAGACCTACACAGAATATATCCCCACAGACATACAAATAACATAATTTAGGTTTGATGAGTTTAACTGCAAAGCAGATAATGCTATTAGAAATTGAAATAAAGTAGAAAAACTTACTTTTTGGCATACAAATTACTTTTTTTCGTGTTAAATTGTCTGTGTTTGACGAAATGTGCTGATTTTTCACATGTGATAGCAGAACTGAGTTGGGCATGCACAGGATAAGTCACATCATTTGAAACTTAGCCCTGATTGGAGAAATTGGAAGTGTTACAACTGACCCACGTTACAACTATCCCCGGTCTCCCCTACTTAATTCAGAAAATTCTTTAATTTGTACAGAGAAAGCAGCATCGAAATGATCGAGATATTTCTCGTGGGAAAGGAGGAATTAGCGCTGCATTTACAGCTACCTGTTAAAATTGACACAACTCTGAAAGTGAGAGGCGACACTTCCCACGTTCGCACGCGTATTTTCCACTTTTTACAATCCAGACGCTTTTCTTTCCAAGCTCCTTAGAATTCCCACCGACATTCATGCAAATAAGATGCAGACAGAAAAAATTCTTCCAAGATATGAACAGATCTTTAAATTAATGCAGTTAAATGCCAGGGAACAACTAAAAAAAAAACATCACGGTCTTCATGTAGTCAAAGTTGATTCGTCAGTTTTAATTCCTGTTCCCTTAAATCTACAGATACAAACATTTAGACACTAAAACAGCAACACATAAATGCCAGCCCGTTTATCACCGACTCACTGTCACTTTGAAAATAGACCTTTTGTCGCACAGTATCATGCAAATAATTATTCATGAACGCCGATAAAGGTAGTGTGAGGTTTGTGAATCACCTCAGGGTGACTTTGATATTCAGAGTGTGGCAACACGAGGCAACAGACACGTGCCAAAATACAATGACTATTCAGTAGATCTTTATTATTATTCACGGAAGTGAGATAGATTATTAGTAATGACAAATACGCCGTGATTAGAATTAATTGATAAAGTTTTTCAGAAGCTCACTAAAACCTACTACAGGTAGGAATACATCAATAAATGTGACTTTTAAGTTCATCCCTCCACAACTGGTCGCTGAAGATGTAACAAATATAAACATGTATGCATATATTTAATTACTGATTAAGGCATCTAATTTCCTTTAAACGTTTTACTTTTAATACATTTGTAGTAATTTTGGAGATACATGCAGACTGAATGGCGCGTCGCTTGGAGTTTTCCCTAATCCTCTGGCGCGTGCAGCTGCCCATACAAGTGGGAGAGGCACGAGCCTTTGAAATGTGTAATCAGCCCCTCTGAGACTTTACTTGCATATGTGACAAAAGAGCCGCCCACACAGCGTGAAGCTCAGGTAAATCACTCCGACCTTTTAGGCCATTATCCTGTACAGAGAAATGAGATGTGTCCTTATAAAACAGGCTCTGGGGTAAAATGGTTATGAAGACAAAGCCGAGGCATCTTTCAAGTGTCGAAGTTTTTAGCAGTGAGCAAAAATCTGCAGCAAGGAAAAGTCTCATGTTGTTCCTATATTTTTTTCATTAACATTTCTATATTCATGTCTGTAGATATTTGTCTTTTAATCATGACTGTATAACAACAACTTTGTGCACACATGTTTCGCCGACTAAGAGTCAGGAAAGTGTATTCTGAATTTGAGGGAGTGCGTAATTTTTTTAGGCGCATCCTTGAAAACGTGTGAAAAAGGGGACTGATATCAAAAGGTAACAGTAGCCTGTTTGTGTGTTTAATGTAAATATGTAATTTTCTTGTTTTCCGCCTCCTCTCCCAAAGACTCTTCTTTAGGATGTATCACTTCTAACACGTAATAAAGTGAGAAACTATTCTACAGTTCGATTCCCATGAGAGAGAGTTTGGTGAGGTATCCCACGGTAAACGATGGCGATAAAAGTGTGAATAACCATTAAATATTCAGCCAAACTCAATCAACATCAGCTTTTATCTGTTGTTAGATAATCTAAAAGGGATTTAATGTTAATACAACTTTTCAGTCTGGATTTCTGAATTGTTATGAGAGGTCTGCAAAGGGATCTTCAAAAGAAACCGTGACGCTAAATTCCATATTTTTATGCGGGACTCTTTAAATGGTTAAGTTTGGTTAAATGGTCACAAAAATGAGAACCTATTTGGGGATCTTGTGACAAGGTCTAACGTGTGCTGTGCGTGGGAATCCAAGAGTCACCTTTCCTCCAAGAACACTTTGCAAATGAAGTATCAGTTTTAACAGGTAATAAAGTGAAGATTGAGCCTGCTGCTCCACATTCCCACGGCCAGAAAGAGCTGCAAGAAGCAGTTTCCCACTGTCACACTTTTCCAACATTTGTCTACTTAGTGCTGTGTGCCACGACAAATGTGCATCCACCAAATTAAAAGCATTTTTTGTCACATGGTTTGGAAAACACCGGAACACTTGCTTTACGCACCTCTAAGTCTCACCATTAATATATAATCAGTTGCAAATAAAACACATTAGTACTAAATACATCCAAAGTAAAAAATATTTTTTTATATACACTGGCATTAGTAATAGGGTGTATGAGTATATTTGTTAGTAGTAGATGGGCTACCTGATTTCGGTAGAGAGCTTTTCGGGATGACCAGATATATCTGAGCTCTGATACAAAGAAATACACAAAGAAATTTAAATAAATCCAATAATTTTCTTTCACAGCAATAAAACAATAAACGTAAATAAATGTAACTAAATATACAAATTTATGTTGTGACTGTCATGTAACTTAGTGCAGAAATAATACCACATTTTGTGGTGTGCGTAAAAGTGCTTTAACGCTCACTGATTACATTTAATTCCACCTGTTTACAGACCTGCCTTCGCCACGATTCTCTTATCATGCAAGTCATTTACACCTCTGCAGCTGACAAATGCGCCTGGGAACCCAAATGCAGACGTGTAAATGACGTGCACACCTTGTGCTAGTTTTCGGGATGTATCAATTTTAACACTTAGCTGTCAGCGCAACTCTAATTCAGTCTTCCCACAAATACGCTCCTTCATCTGAAGAAAGACATTTATAAAAAAAAAAAAAGAAGAAGAAGAAGAGGAAAACAAACGGAGAGAAAAATATTTTTTGTTCTGATTTAATTCAATTAGTAGAAAAAGGTCAAGAATGAAAATGACGATTTTTGTCTTTTTGTCAGTAGAAATCAAAACAGTTCCAATTGTAGCCAGAATTTCGAGTATAACAACAATAATTAATAAATAAATGAAATCTGTGCTGAGAACCATTCATCTGATAATTATTTAACTTAAAAATAATGAGACCAGAATATCTGCAGGACGTTTCCTCGGAGCAGTAGCTGCTGGCCTTGGACGTCACCAGAAAGAGGCCAGTGTTTTACGCATCACTGCCTGTGCAAAAGTGAAAACCTCGCACATCTCATCATAACTCATTTCTGCAGTCCCAAAAGCAGAA